AACAAGTAGGCTCTCCTTCAGGATATGTTCATGAGTGCCTCACCTGCGAGCTGTCATCCTAGCCTCTGTCTAGCTGGCTTGGACCCCTTGCCAGTCCAGACATGCGGTAGCTGCCAGACCCTCCCACTTTGCAGTTTCTGGCCCTGCCCCGTGACACAGCCCAGCATGACAGATGGGTGGGGAGTATCACGGAATGGTGGGTCAGAATATGCCAGAGCTTGAACTCCTCTTTTTGGTGAGAAGGAAACCATCCAAGGCAGGGCGGGAGGGGAGGGGGGTGTGAAGTGATTTGACAAATGTCTACGTGGTTACAGATCCAGAACTGGAGTCTGGATCCCCTGGTTCCTATCCAGAGCTCTTTCCATCATTCAAAGGAACCAGGCTTCTTGGGTGAGGTAATGCTTAGAAGAATCTAAAAGGCTCTCCCCTGCCCATCAGAGCTGCTTCACTGCCATATTAGTGGAATCATTTCGGGTTTCCTTCAAATGCTGTACATGCCCAGGAAGGCCTCTTTCTGGTCGTCACTAGGATGTGCCGGTGCTGGGCCTAGAAATACTCTCTGCAGCATCTTTTAGGTAATGATTCTCAGTCTGCCTGCCTCCAGACAGTTCCTCTTCACCATGCTACTTTCCCCATCACCCATCCTCACCCGGGAAATGCAGTGAGCCCCTCCCTGCCGTGGTCTAGACTTTTAGGGCCTCTCACCCCCAGTAAAATGGAAGCAATCTCTTTATTGGTCGCCTTGCTTCCTATCTGGTCCCCACATCCACTCAGCCTCTCTGAGATACAAAAGCCATGGCACGCTCCCTTCTTAACCCCTTGCCGTCAGGATCATGCCCAGAGGACTTATCTGGGCCCGTCATGCCCTCTCACAGTCTGCTCAAGTGCATTTCTGTCCTGCACACGATTCCCCCTCTTGCTGCACTGCACCTCACGTCTCCCCAAAACCTCTCCTAACCAGCTCCCACTCATCCTCATCTGGGCTTACAAGGTGTCCATCACCTCCCTGACTCCAGTTCTAAGGTCAAAGCTTTGTTAATTATCTTTCTACACTCATCAGCTACAGGTACCCTACCCCAATGCCTAGCACCCGGTGACACAGAGTGAGCCGCTCACAAACGCTCATTGAACTAACGAGTTCCCCATAAGAGGGGACACTGCCCACCCTCCTCCCATCTCCCTTCTGTGTCCAGTTTGAATTATCCCCTTCGGAGAGATAAGGGCAGAAAAGAGCCATTACTGTTGCTAGTGTCGATGCCAAATGACTGACACTTCCTGGATCCTCTTGACACCCTGGGCCCCCGGATGGGAAAGTCTCTCCTAAAGGCAGACAGCGGAAGCTGGTGGACTCTGGCCCAGGGCCGCAAGTCCTCATTGCTCCCGGGAGCAGGAGAGGGTGTGGCCGTACAATCCGGCCAAACAGAAATTTCTTCCTTCCTTCTCTCAGTCAGTGAATGGGGACCAAATCTGAATCACCCTGAGGGATCCGCAGGAGCCTTAGACGACAGAGTTTGCCCTTGAGTAGCTTAAATACGCCAGCAGGCCCAGGTGAGATGAATTTAGATAAAGCTTTGCCGTGAGGGAGGGCTGAGTCGTGCATCCTGCACATCCCCTTGGGAGGAAGGCGAGGCCTTACCATGGTCTGCCAGGTCCACAGGATCTGCCCCAGTACCTCCACCACGTCACCTCCCTGGTGTCAACTCCCACAGCTCTTGTCCCACCCCTCTCGGCACTGCTGGAAAGGAGAGGGCTCCGTAACCTGTAAAGTGCTGGGCTGATATCAGTGAAGCTGCCGTCAGCCGGCACATGCGCTCACGAAGGAGCTCCAGACACCGGGGCCAGCCATCTCATAGATCATCACGCCTTGCCCCAGGAAAGTCAAATCGGATAACCGGACCGCCCCAAAACGCAGCCCTAGAACGAGCATGCTGTCCTGACTCATTCTCGCAGGCTTGGCCCAGCGTTCCCTGGTCCACATGGGCAACTGCGGGGAAGAGCCCCCAGATGGCCTTGCCACTCTGGGCCCTGGGGATCCCCGACCCATCACTGGGCTCCAGCCTAGCCTCACAGCACCCCACGTAAGAGGCATAAAAGGCCGTAGAAAGCAGGAGACATCAGCTACCCTAAACACAGGGCCGTTTTTAGTTCATAGTAGTATTTCCTGATGTTGCTATTCACAAAAACTATTCATTGTAGAAAACACAGAAAAATTAATGCAAGTCTAGAGAAGAAATTTTAAATCCTGTTAGCCTACTACCCAGAGATATCCACAGCTCATATATGCATATATCCTCCTATCTTTTTTCTCCACATATAAAAAAACTAGACGTTAGAGAGAGAATGAGAGAGAGAGAGAGAGAGAGCACATGAGAGGGGGGAGGGGCAGAGGGAGAAGCAGACTCCCTGCTGAGCGGGGAGCCCGATGTGGGACTCGATCCCGGGACTCCAGGATCATGCCCTGAGCCGAAGGCAGTTGCTTAACCAACTGAGCCACCCAGGCGCCCCTGAAAATATTTGTATGGCTACATACTACCCTATGCTAGAGCTCTAAACATAACTCATTTGACCACTGTGTAGGGTTAGATATTAGGGTTGAGACTGTTCCAACAGAGACCTGGTTCCTCCTCTACTCCACCCTCCTCACTGACTCTCCTGGTCTTCATCACTGACTACCTTCCTGCCTAGGCATATGCCAGGCTGAATGGGAGGCACAGGGTAAGACCCCATCACTGCCCCGGACAGGCTGCCTGGCTACGTGAAGACAGAAGACGGTGCACTCATAAGAAAGCTAAACAGGAGTCCCATGCCAACTGAGGAGTTAGGAGGGTAAGACTGTAGAAAACGTTTCTAGATGCGGTGGGATGGCTCCACCAAGAAGACACTGGAGCACTTACCACACGCTGGGGCCAGAACACTGGACAGCAGTGGGCCAAATGCTACGTATTCAGCACAGGCCCGTGTGGCCAGGTACACCCAGCCAAAGAGAAGGCTGAGTCCCTGAGTCTAGACCAAGCCCTCTGCCTGCAAACATGGCTCCTGTCCTGTTCAGCTGACAGCCTCGGAGGGAGACAGATATTAATCAAATACTTCACAAATAAAGATAAAAATTACAACTGGGCCATGAAGGAGAGATAGGTAGGGCTCTGAGGACATATAACCTGGGGTTCCCTCAGAGGGCAGAAGTGTGGCCAGCCCCATGTGGAAGGAGCAGGTGAAGGACCCAGAAGAATGTCTGTCTGGAAAGCAGAGCAGCAATGCAAGGTGGAATCCAAGGAGAATCCAGAGCCAGACCACGCAGGCATGATGGGCCATGCTGGGTTTTAATCTTGGGAGGAACGGAGCTGTTGGAGGTCTTTAAGCAGGGAGAAGCCAAGGTTGGATTTCCATTTTGAAGAGTGTGCTCTGGCTGTGTTCGAGTCCTGGCTCAGGGGCGGGGGCAAAGAGTGGGTGCAGCACAGTCAGTAAGAGGCTGTGCTGGAGCTGGGGCAGGCTGACGGTGACTTGGACCAGGGTAGTGGCAAAGGACATGGGAAGAAGTGGAAGGATTGGATCGATATTTCTAGAATCAAGGTGGGGTTGATGATGGGACTTTTCAAAAAATCCGTTAAGTACACTTTTGAGCTAGAAACATTAACCTGCCAGCATGAAGAGGTGCTCACATTAGCAGGATGTCTCCTCAGGCAACTTCCCTTGGCAGACGTCCTAGTGAAGGCAGAAAGGAAGAAGTGGGACACCGCACAGATGGGGAGTTACGGTGAGGGACGGGGCACGGGACGCAGCACAAGGGGCTCAGCCCCTGAGTTGCCACAACCAGACCAGCCCACGAAACCCGGGCAAGTCACTGTACAGCCCCAAACCTCAGTGTGTACATCTGTTAGTTGGGAAAACAATGCCTGCCCTGCACCGCCCCATCCCATGTTGTTGTGAGGATGGTAGATTAGATCATTTTGAAGCATCCTGCCAACCTCAAGTGTCTTAAGAAAGGAACTTGGCCATGTCCCAAGCCACCCTAAGAATGAAGCCAACTGCCGGTAATCAGCCCTGGGGTCAGAGGTTCCAGGAGCTCTGGACCGGAGCCCTGGGTCTCCAGGCAGGACTGACCCTGAAGGCCAGGATGGGGCAGCCCTGGCTGGGTCCCGTATGCGTTGTAGGTGCCTGGAGCTGTAGGCTCCGGTGCAGCAGGAACTGGACCTTAGAATATAACCATCTCTAGTGGCTGACACAGCACAGAGAAGTACATGCCGTAAGGCACCCCGTGGTTTGTGGGGAAAACACATGCTCTGGGGCAGGCCCCTCTGGACTACTCCCAGCTGGTCTGGGAGACCGATCTGGAAGAACGTCTGTTTCTACTTAACCTCTGGTTTCTACGGAGCTGCTCTGAGCCTCAGTTTCTTCATCCGTAAGCTGGAAACGCCCACATCTGCCCTGCAGAGTCGCTGGGATAGTGTCTCATATATTAGGCACTCAGCAATGGGACGTGCTGCCGGGAGTTTGAACTCAGGCCGCCTGTGGATGGGTTGTAGGCTCTGGGCTTGCTCACGCGAGCTGCAAGGTCGTTCTTTTGCCCCCTCCACGCAGGCCAACTGCTGACAGTGGCAAAGCCACGTTGCCATGCTTGAGGGAAAAACTGCCTTGGTTTCAGGTTTAATAAAAAAAAAAAAAAGGGATATTTGGGTTTGGTTTCGTCTAGGGTTTGGCAAACGCGTGTGGTTTGCTTCTCCTTGCGGCTGGGCTGGGGCACCGGTTCAGGTCCTGGCGGGAAGGAGCAACTAGCGGGGCTTTAGGACCCGGCTGCGCGTCTGCTGGACCCCGCGGGTCCCGGGTCCCCGGAGCGGCGGGCGGAGAGGCTTGAATGAGACGCTGGCGGGGATCGGACTGAAACCGCTCGCGGCAGAAGAGCCCCGCGGTCTCCAGGCAACCGCCCCGACGCAACGAGGAAGGAAAAAAAAAAAAAAAAAAAAAAGTCCCTTAAAAAAAGAATAGTGCCGAGAATTCACGGGAGCAAAGAGAAAGGGAGGCAGAAGCCGGCTCAGCTCCCGAGGCCGGGGCCAGAGGCTGCGGCGGGCGCCGGGAGCCCGCGTACGGAGAAGGAGGCGGGGAGCTGGGTGACACCCTTGGAAAGGGCCTTGGCGCGCCAGGGAAGGTAGGTTCGCGACAGGGGCGGGGACGTTCCCAGGACTGGGGTCGGGGTCGGGGCTGGGCGCCCAGTTGAGGGTGGTGGGGCTGTGGCCTGAGGCATCCGGAGGGGAGGGGGCTCGGGGCCGCAGGTCCCCAGAGCAGGCACTGGCAGAGAACAGCCTGGTCGGGGCTGGGGAGCACCGATCCCACCCTGGAGTGGACACCCCTTAACCCTCCCGCAGGAGAACAGGGTTCTGCCTCACCGTCCCTGGGGGGGCTCACTTGTCTCATGGGGAGTGGGACAGCCTGCTGGACTCCATCTCCCACCTCCTCGCTGGCCCGTTCCACGGCTAAGATCTGGCTGGAGATTTGGGGTACACCGTCTGAGAGGGAGGAGCCCCACTCAGTCTCTCCAGGTCTACTCTCAGACTGCTTGTCATCTCTAAGGCCACCCTGTCCCCTCCAACCTACTTCAGGCACGGTGACATCAAGTTCCTGCCCCAAGGAAGCAATCCCTAACTCAGAAGAAGTAACCCAGGCCACTTGGGCCCTGGGTGTTCTGAAGGACTGAGGCCAGTGTGATCAGAGGGAACTGCGCAGCCCAAAGGGCCCCAGGGGAAGGAGCAGGTCAGCCTTGAGACTGCCCCCGGCCCGGGGAGGGGGGGTCACTAAGAAAAGGCAGGAAGGTCTATGGTCCTTGGCTAGGGCACAGGTGTCTCCCTCCACCAAGTCAGGTCGCATGTTCGGCTTTTAAAATAATCCCTTATTGTCTGTATCTGGTTTTCATTCTCTGTGGTGGGTGGTTCCTCCTGAGAAGGTCTGGAAGAGAGGCTGATTCTAGGTTGGTGGGCCACAACCTCCTCTTAAACCCACAGGCATGTTCTCCCAGATTAAGTTGCCATCCACTCCCAGACATTCCTGGTGAATCCCAGGTGGGATGAGCCAGGTCCCCATCAACAGGGGAATCCCCTAAGTGCCCAAGGGAGCCAGGGTCCCAAAGCAGCTTCCCTTCCGATGCCCCAGAGATGGTCCTTGCCGCCCGCCAGGCAAGGGATGGAGAAGGGAGAGTGCTGGGCAAAGTCCTGGAAGACGCGAGGCGGCCATGGCGCCTCTCCCCGACGGCGTCCGCTCGTTTCTGCTAGCATGTTTTTAAGAGGTTTGGCAAAGCAGCCCTGAGCTGTGCTTAGAGTGGATAGAGATGACAGCTCTTTTCTGAGTACATTTACTGAGCAGGCACTGCTTGAGAACCCTTCGCATCCACTGGTCATTTTATTCTCACCATGGACCTCGGAGGGGACACTGTATCTCCATTTTGCCGATGGGACTCCAAGAGACTCAGTAACTCTGTTCGGCTCAGGTGACTAGTGAAAAGAGCCTGAGAGTCAGCCTTAGGTGCCTGACTCCTAAGGCAGTGCTCTGAAAAGAAGGCTGCCGGGCGCCTGGGTGGCTCAGTTGGTTAAGCGGCTGCCTTCGGCTCAGGTCATGATCCTGGAGTCCCGGGATCGAGTCCCACATCGGGCTCCCCGCTCAGCGCGGAGTCTGCTTCTCCCTCTGACCCTCTCCCCTCTCATACTCTATCTCATTCTCTCTCTCAAATAAATAGATAAAATCTTTAAAAAAAAAAATGAAAGGAAGGCTGCTTTAGGAGATGAGAGGGGAGAGGCTCAGAGAGGGGGAAGAAACCATTTGCACCTGGAGAAACTGAGAGCTGTGTGGCAGGGCTCATCCTGTGTCCGGGGACCGCCCCTTACCATCCTGAGGGACCTTGTGGAGCCCAGAAATTCATTTCTTGCATCAGGAGCCTGAAAGGCTCGGCAGTGCAGCCTGGCTCACTTCATTGGTGCTTGCCTGAAGTGGAGAGAGGGGTTCTCCCTCACCCCCTTCTCCCCCCTGCCCACCCGAAGTCCCCCAACTTGTCACGCACTTGTTCCTGTCTTGCCTCCCAAATACACCCGTGGATTTCCACAACATGAATAGTCCCGCTTCCGTATCTACCAGCTTGGCCTCCCTCCAAAAAAGGACTCTGGCAGGGAAGTAAATTAAGGCAATGCCTAACTGTCTGCCGAGAGAGACCCACAGAGAGGGCTCTGTGGGTCTCTCTCTCTCTTCCCCCTCTCGCTCTCTCTTCCCCCTCTCGCCAAGGGGGAAGAAACTGCTTGTGAGGCTCCCCACACACTCAGGTGGTTTTTCTCTAGGTAAATTTGGCTAGTGGAAAACTCCTGTGCCCCCACACAAGCATCTGGAATTTTCAGACCCCTCTGGCCGCTATGCTCTAACTGACTCTTGGCTTAACAGGGGTGTTGAGCTACTTGGAAAGCTGGAAGAGGAATGATAAGCTGAACGGTTTGCTCCCTGGTTTATAGAACATGGTTGAGGGAGTTCTTACTAATTGGAAATCTCCTGGGATTAGCCTGGATGGCTCTCAATATGCAAATGTACCCTGGGATGTGGATTGGGGTGAGGAGAAAGGAAGGAAGGGGCAAATTCTGAAGCAGTGCTCAGGCCCACCTCGAAGGCACAGGGAGGGGCTACAGAGAGGGTGGGAGCAGGGAGGATGAGCCAGGAGGTTGGAAAGGGGTTTAGCCAGGAACTTGGCAATCAGCCTGTAGAGTTTGGGCTGCCCTAGAGGGTTGAGTTGCCAACATGAGTTTGGAAGGCTGCAAATGTCAGCTTCTCCATGGTCAGCACAGTTGCCCTGGTGTGTGAAAGCCCAGAGCCACCCCGCCACCCCCGTTTCTCTCTGGAGAAGTGTGGGAGAGAAAGGAAAGAAAGGGAGAAAGAAGGTGGGCAAGAGGAGAGGTTAGAGGCTTGCACTCCCCACACCATCTGCTTTCCTCCTGAATGCTCCCCAATCCTGCAACAGCACCCACCCAGGAAAAGCCTTTAGAGAAGGGAGCTCATAGGGCAGCTGCCCACCTCCCTGTGGCCACCGCTCCTAGAGGAAGGGCTCTCATCTCAAGGGGTAGAGGAGTAGCGAGCACTCCAGCATCAGGGGCCTCCTCACCCCAGGACCCCTGCCCAGCAGCCTCTGCAGAGCCCCAAGAAGGGGCCAGGGTTCAGCTTATCCGGGGTACAGCCTGAGCACCGTTTCTTCAAGACAATCTCTCCAATATGGCCAGAAATTACCCCCCCACACACACACACCCAGAATCTGATCTAATTGTGGGAGTAGTAATGGGTCCCAAGAAGACTTCCTCGTAGGGCTTGTCCCTTGAGACCTCGAAGGAAAGGCCCAGCTCAGAGCTGGTTTTCCGGGTACATAATGGGCCCAGACAGTGGCCTCCACTGTGGCCACAGTTTCGGGGCTTACTGAAGGCCGAGCAGCATTTCCTCATTCCAGGAAGCCAACAGAGCCTCTGAGCGTATGCCGGGCACTTAGGGCCCAGAGGCCAGGGAACTCTCAGGGTGATGAGTCCTGGGTCAGGATCCTTGCCTGGGAGGACTCTCGGAGCCCTGACTGTCCCCCTCCCCTCACCCCCATAAAGTGAAAAGTGACACTACGTCCTCAGTCCTTTGAGCACTGACACCGTTCGGTCATGATTCTAGGGTTTGGCTGGGTTGTTGTCCATTTATTTGCTGGAGGGCAACCACTGCAAACACTGAGGAAGGTGAAGGTGAACCTCGTTAGCAGGTTGGATGAAAGCAAGCCTCAGACCACATTCTGCCACATATGTAGACTTTTTTTTTAAAGATTTTATTTATTCATTTGAGAGAGAGAGAGCACAAGCAGGGGGAGAGGCAGAGGGAGAGGGAGACGCAGACCCCCACTGAGCTCCGAGCCTGACATGGGGCTTCATCCCAGGACCCAGGGATCATGACCTGAGCCGAAGGCAGACACTTAATCGACTGAGCCACCCTGGCGCCCCTATGTAGACATTTTTTGAACAACTATTTGCAGACAGGCCCAGCAGAATTTATACAGCTTGTTCTGTGGACTCGGTGAGGTCGCAGCCATCTGTCTCTCTAGGTGTCCTGACCACCCCTCCCCTGAGAGCTCACTAGATTCTTTCACCCTGCCTTTCCAGGTCAAGAATGCCTCAGGTAATTCTGGCCAACCCACATATCTTGAATACCTCTGTTTTCACCAAGGAGAATGCATTTCTAACACTTACTCTGTAAATTATCAAATGCCTGGTGTTGAGCAGAGAGAAAGACAACCAAAGCACCTGCCATAGCCCCCTCTGGAGCGCAGACCCTCTGCCTGAGGCTGCTGGCCAGAAGTGGGAGTCCCGATTTGAATGCACCCTTGTTGCAGCTAGCCTAATGAAACCACACAGAAGGGTTTTAAGATCAATCGTAGACATTGTATCACAGATAAGACAATGGTCTTGCCCTCAAGAAGTGTGCAGTCTGATCAGGGTTGCAGGTTAGAAAAGACCATTGGAGCAACCCAGAGTACTGAGCTGACAGGAAAGTGATGTTCTGAGCATTCTGGAGCATACAGACGTACATGAGCTAACTTGAACGGTTTGGCAGCCGTTCCGCCCTTTGATAGGCCAAGGAGAAGCCCAGCCAAGCGTTGTCATGGATGAGAGGGGATAGTCCTTCTAGAGGCGTGACTAAGAATTCACGTACACTCTGTCTCATTGGGACCTTCCAAAGCTTTGAGGTAGTATGAACCCCATTTCATGGATGAGGAACTTGAGGCCTAGAGGGTTAAATCAATTACCCAAGGTGGTAGAATTAGTAAGTGGTGGGACTGGGCTATCAACCCCTGTCCCCCAACACTCAGCCCTGCACCATCCCTAACCTGCTCTATCTCTTTCTTCTGCTGCTGATTCCTACCCTCAGCTACGCACAGCTCAAGTTGACATGAATGGGGAGAAAGGTCACACATCCCACTTTCTGTTCTGCCTGAACCAACTGTTCCCTCCAAACCCCAGTGTGGGCACAGTCCTACCCCTCGGGTTAGCTGCAGGCAGCGCTGGACATTGCTAGGCAGGCTGAGTTCAGGCTTGAACCACCCCCGCCCTCCATCCCCAGCTCCTGAGGACGGACAGGCCCTGCCCAAACACAGGGAAACTCTAAGGGCCCTTCAATCCCTGGAGAGGTCAGCACACCCAGACAGAGTATGAAAGTGAAGTGACTTGCCTAAGCACAGAGCACACCATGAAACTTCTTAGGAAGTCCTTGCTAAACCATTAGGCTTTGGAACTTGTAATGCAGAGCAAAATAGAAAGCCCATCATCAAAACAAATTCCCATTTGAGCTGGACTTCGTTGATTCTGCTTATTTGAAGTTGAAGCCAATTATCCTGTGGATTTGGATAGTTCTAGATCTGCCTTGTGTAGGGGCTGAGACACATCCTCGTTGGGAGACGCTTTGGTGGACCGAACCCCACAGGGGGACGATGTACACCCCAGCGCCCTTAGCTGTGAAATGGCACCCCGAGTTTCAGTCAGCTGTGAAGTGTTCCCTACTTTTACAGCCAGAACACCCGCTTGAACCGCGTTCTACTTTGATCTCTGCAAATTGCTTTAAAGGCCACTCTGTGTCCGCTTTCTACCCCGTAATCCCCAATGCCATGGCCTTTGGCCAGAAAAGTGCTGTGGTCACATGCAGCAGTGGGCTGGGGCGGCAACGGGCTGCCTGAGTCCCCTCCTGGGCGTCTCTGCCTCCTCTGGCTTTCCCTGGAGGAGGGCCCCTGCTTCAGACTCTGCATTTCCCATGGCCCCTTCCCCCCTTCCTCCCGCACCCCTCCTCCCTCACCGGACTTGAGGATTCTCAGGCACCTTTCTCCCTGCCTGTCAGAGCAGAGCAGCCCTTTCCCAGGGCCTCGCAGCCTTGGAGGGGACACTGTGGCCTTGACCCTGGGCGGCCCAGCAGCCCCCTCCCTGCAGCAGCCCTGCGCTTTCTCCTCTCCTTTCAGTGAGGCAGTAAATTAGATCTGCAGGGCCGAGGAGCCGGGGCCTCTCCCCGCAGCAACAGGGAGCACAACTCTTTCTTGGTGATTTTCTGAGCAACTTCTTTCACTGGGCAAAACGATAGGAAAGGTTTCCACGTTCCCAGCCCTGTGTGTGGCAGGAGGCCTGTGCGTCTGCACTGAGCACCCCAGAGCAGAGCCCATCAATTATTCAGCACGGGCCGAGCACTTTGAATGTGCAAAGGTCTGAACAAGGGTTTTTTATAGAATCTTGCCTCACAACATCCCAGTGGAATGAAGCAAGGTTTCCAGGTATTCTAGACAGTAAAAGCTCAACTTGGAGCCAGAAGAGGAATCCGAGCCCAGACAACCCCACTAATGGAGCTGTGTGACCCCAGGCGAGTCTCGAGACGTCTCTGGTATGCAGTTTGTCTGTGGTTGAAATCTCAGGAAGGCCTCTCCAGCCCAGATCATAGTGTATGGGGAAAAACTTGTGAACTTTTGTGTACAGGGTGATTTCGAAATCATTATGATATTTCTTGCTATTCCAGGTGTGGAAACAGAAGCTCTGAATGATAAGTGAAGGTAACAACCATTAGCAGTGGACGCTGGAAACCGAGCTTCACCGGGAGACACCCCCCGGGGCAGTGTGGGTAAGTGGGTTCCTCTGCCCCCCTACTCTCATGGGTGCAGCTCGGGGACATGGTGACCACCCACCGGCTGCTCTGGTCTAGACTCTGCGAGTGTCAAGGTGGAAGGAAGTGCAGAGGCCACTGCACCCACATTGCACATTTTGCAGGGGAGAAGCAGAAGCCCTGAGAGGGGAAGTAAGTCGCCTCGGTCGCTCGGGTTGGGACAGGGTCCCTGGAGCTGACTCTCAGGTGAGGGGCTCTTTTGTCTCCCACCCTGGGCTGGGTCTGCCGCAAATGGCTGTCTCATTCCCATCTACCAGCAGCAGGGCTGGGACCCTGGCTGGGAGGCTGTCTGGGGTTGCCTGGAGCAGGAAAGTCCAGGGGAGTAAGGAACTCAGCCCACTGAGCCTCCCTGCACCTCCCAGGATCCCAGACTGGGCCTCACCTCCAACAGCTCATCCCCCCACGTCGGCAGTCTCAGGTCTGGGCATCCCAGCTGCCCCTGGGACGGGCCTGGGAGCCACCAGGCCCCCAACAGCAACACCATGGTCAAAAGAAATGAGCTCTGTCTCCCATGCCAGGCGCATCACTCACATTCCAGGAAGGCATGTGACTTGTCCAGGAGGGTATCACAGTCAGGAACGGCAGAACTGTCCTGAGTAAGGCTCGGGTCCCCTCACTTGCCAGGCCCTGCCCTGGAAGGCGGGCTCTAGCCCATGAGAGAGACCCTCATGCTGCAGCAGTTTGGCTTCCCAGTGTCAAGGGGTGGCGGTGGGGGGCGGGGGGGGGCACTTGAGTCTAGCTGCTTGGGTCTCATCCTCCTCGACTGCCCAGATCAGTTTAATACGAAAATGAAGCATTGCCGTAAGACTATTTAAATGGCATTATTTGCCCCTGGGATTCCTAAGAACCTGGGCTTTAAAACACTGAAATACTCTAAAGCGTGTGTCCTGTTATTTTCTACAAATGAAGCTATTTGGGGGCATGGTCACAATGGTGGAGTTGGGAAAACTTGGGCTCAAATGGTGGTTTCTTCACTCACCTGTATATGACCTGTCAGGCAGGGAGAATACAATTCGTATCTCAGGGCCATTTCGAGGGTTCAACTAGACGTTTGCACTGTGCTTGGCCCACGGTAGCCACTAGAAAATGCTTCTCTTCCCCTCTTCCTCTTGATTCTAGGATTTTGTATTTTTATTCCTGTATTCAATCAGAGGAAATGGCCATTTATATATGTCTTTTATTTTTACCGAAAATATGTGTTGAAATTGAACTGGTGATGTACTCAGTCAGAGAGGAAATGGCCATTTATATATATTCCTTTATTTATACCAAAAATATGTGTTAAAATTGAACTGGTGTTACCAAACAAGTAGCTATAAGAAGTATGGGGAAGAATTGGAATCAGACTGTTCCTAGACAGATCCCACAGTTAGTACAGGGAGGTGACTTGGGCCCCTCTTGATGACAGGGGACAGAAGTCCAGCTTAAATTAGTCCAAGCAAAGGAGAGAATGTATTAGTGCATAGAAGTGGGGAGTTTCTGTCTTTGGGCACTGTTGGATCCAATGGCTCTGAATATGTTGACCTTCTCTATCTCTGCCTCTCTTTTGGTTCTCCTTCCTAAAGGCTTATTCCTTCTCAATGTAAATGAGTTTTCTCCATGAGGCTGAGAAAGATGCATCCTGGAAATTCCAGGCTGAAAAGCTACCTTGTTTCTTCAGATGCCTATATTTAAATCCCATGAAAATATTCAGACTGGACTTGCCTGGCCGGGCACACATCCACTGGACCAGTTACTCTAGGCAGAGTAAGGGCTAAAACAAATGTTTAAGTCTGGGTCACGTGAACATCCCTGGGGGTGGGGGTGATGGGCAGGGAGCTAGGACTCACAGTCCCTTCTGAACACTGAAATGACACTGGGATAGGCCTCACAGAAGGGATGCTGAAGATATCTGTCCACCTAACGGGTACATCACAAATGTAACTAACTAATGTGATCCAAGGAGAGAAGTGGCCAATACCTAGACTAGTTGGTGCAGAAAAGCCCTAAAAAAAATTTGTTAGGGGAAGAAGCAATCGGTTCTATTTGGAAAGAACACAGAAGGCTGTAGAATGAGGTGGTGTTTGAAGTATGCTCCAAGATTTGGTCATATTCAAACATGAGGTTATGGAGGAAGGATAAAACATCAAGTTGAGGCCAGCCCCCCCAAGCCACCCCACTTCCCAGCTCAGACTCATTCTGACCTTGAAAGTCTTACCTATGAACTTGCAGGAGGTCTGCTGGGCAGATTCAGAGGTAGAACTACTCCAGCTGGAATGTGTTCACTAATTCACGGCATTGCCATGTCAGCATTTCTTGAGCATCTACTGTTTGTAGAGCCTTGTGTTCGGGACGCAAGAGAAAGCAATGCTCTTCCTATTGAGGAGCTAGACGTCTGGTCAGGGAGGCAGAACACTCCCTGAGGAGTGTCGAACAGGCAAATGTGTGGTGAGCATGATGGAGGCCAGTCCCGGGGGGGAATTCAAAGAATGACCTGGCGGGCGAGGCATCCTTGAGGCCTTTTGAGTGGAAGCAACCCCTTAGCTGAGCTTGAAAGCAGAGCTTTAGTCTTTGTAAGGAGCAGGGAGGTCCCAGACAGGCCATTCATCCATTCAACAAGGTTACTGAGAACCTACTGTGTTCTGAGTGCTAGGGTCACAGGAATGAGCAAGAGAACATCACTGCCCTCGCGGAGCTTACGTTCTAGGGGGTGAAACACACCATAAACAAGTAAACAAATAACATATAATATCATAGTTGTATGGTGAGTGATAGCAGCTACAGAGTAAAACGAGGGAGGATATCTCGGCATGATGGTCAGAGCCGGTCTCCATGTGGAAGGGACATCTGAGCAGAAATGCGTGAAGTGGGTGCCTGCAATCAGTCAGCCGACCGAGCCGAGGCTTGAGGGCAGGCAGCAGCGTCTCGGACTCTTAGACGAAATGGCTGGATTCTCACAGTGACTTGCTGCCAGGAGGAGTCATCCAGGCAGCAGAGATGACTTCCAGGAAGTGGGAAATGAAGGGTTCTTCTAGGGGGGGCAGCATGCGGCCCTTACAGGTGGGCTGTCCCCTGAGGTCTGTAGATCTTGGGGGGGCATTTGAGGAAGATCCCACCGACATGCACAACCCTGGTACCATCCCCCTTCCCTTACTATTATCCCCCACCACACACCTAGAGCACACATGCAACAGTGTAACCCACCACACACACACACACACACACACACACACACACACACACACACACACTGTCCCAGGGCAGTTCACCCCCACTAGGGTCCAGTCTCTGCAAGATGTCATTCCCCCATCTCAGGAGCTCCCTCCCAACACCGGCTCAGACCAAGACATGGAATAAAGATGAGCTATGTAGGGCCAGACCAGCGGGTGTCCCCTCCTGCTTCAGTCACCATGGCAACCTCTGACAGGAGAGAAAACCCACTTTCTGGCAGCTCCTCCAAGCTCCCTGGCTCCTTTGGGCAGCCCTGTAAGGCGCAGGGCTGTGTCCCCCGGCCTCTCAGCCCGGGTCATGAGCACTCGAGCCAGTGTGCAGAGCACGCACTAGAAATTCACAGCCTGTGTGGGCCACCACCGGAGGTCAGGCCTGAGTCTCTCCTCCCTGCCCCCCCCCCCGCCCCATTTAAGATAAGCATTGTGGGTTTATGATTAAACCTGGTTGGACAAGCCGCCTTGTCAAAGCTCCGCCTCCACGCCCCAGACCTCCTGGGGGAAAAAAAAAATTAGTTGCTTTAGAAAAGGAAAGAATAAAATTCACGTGTGAGTTGTGGCTTGAGCTGCCCTGAATTAAAGTTTCTAAGATGCATGATAGTCCGCCAAGCCCTTTCCCCTCTCTTCTCATCCTCCTCTACCTCTGCAGGGTGGACACTGCAACAACCCCACTTTCAAAAGGGGGGGGCCCTGTGATTCTCAGCTGGAGGGGGCCCCACCCGCCTCTCAGGGGCACGTGGAAATGTGGGGAGGGGAGAGTGTTTTGGATGGCATGCTGTTTTAGGATACTGCTGAGCCCTCAGGGATGGATTCTGTCTCCCCAGATGAATTACACATCCCCCCTCTCCTTTCAGCTGGGGCTCTTGGTCTAACCACCAGAAAACAGTGTTGCTGTAAGGAGTTCACAGAATTGGCGGGAGGTAGAGACCCAAAGGAGAAAACAGGCAGAACCAAGGCAGCTCCAGAAAACAAAGAGTGGGAGGCAAGGCCCTGTGAATTAAATGGTTTGTCTGAGACCGACTCCGTGGGGTGCTAGGTTTTTACTCACACAGTACTCCCCAAAACACTTCTGACACCAGATGTGTGATTTTTCCACACCAAACAGCCCTCTGGCTCTCTGCAGATGCCAACTGCGTGTCCCATGAGCTCCCTCAATTTTGACACCATCGAGCTAAAGTCAGTGTCAGACCGCGCAAGTGGTCAGTCCCGCAGACTGTCCCCGCTTCCCACGCCAACTACAGGTCCCAGCTTGTCACTGGTACCTCTGATCTACTGGCTAATACATTGGGAATTGACCCCAACCCCCTCCTCTGATTCACCAGTTTGCTAGAATGGCTCACAAAACTCAGGAAGCATTTACTTTCATTCACCTGCCAATGAAGGGGTACATAGGGCAAGGTGGGAGGAAGGGGTGCAGAACTCACATGCCCTCTCCAGGTGCGCCACCCTCCCAGAATTTCCATGTGTGCACAAAAACAGAAGCTCTCTGAACCCCTTTGGGTAGGGTTTTTATGGAGGCTCATTACATAGGCACGATTGATCAAATCATTAGCTATTTGCGATCCACTCAATCTCCAGCCCCTCTCCCCCCTCCCCTGCCTCCTAGGGCAGGGGCGCGGCTGCAAGTTCCAACCTTCTCATCACAGAGTGGGCTTTCAAGTGAGTCCCCGCATTAACATAAACTCAGGTGCGGTTGAAAGGGGCTTGTTATGAATAGTAAGACACTCCTTTCACCTCTCTGGCTCTAGAGCT